TCGAAAATCTACGCTCAGCTAAAGCTAATGTTGAAGCTTGTGTATTTCTGAAAAAAATAGTGTGTGTTCTTAGAAGCTAGATTGTATTAATTGTTTTATGAAACGAATCATCACACAATATGCACACATATAAGGATTACCTAAACTAAAGTCTATAGTGTTGATAATAGTAATACATGTACATCACTTAAAGTTGGAGGGGCTAAGCCCCCCTTCAATGAAAGTTGGGGGGGCTTAAGCCCCTCCTGCCCCCCCTGTTCCTACCCCTATGCTGTCAGTGTCATCATCAACTGGCATTGAACTAGTCACTAGTAATTAAAATAGTTTATTATATTGTAGACACATAGCAAACCTGTTATCAAAGATGTTGTAATACTGTATGATGGTATTATTCTTGATGAACTATGTCCAGTTGATGTTGTAGGTATAATAGTAGATATACTCTTGGCATTACTGGTTGATGGTATTACACTTATTGAAATAGGGAATTCAATACTTGATAATGCTAAAATAAAAGAGACAAAATGACAAATTATATATAATGATGAAATAATAGTTGCCCAAAACTTTCCATGCTCCCAAAATTATGATGATTTGCTTGCTTATGCTCATTCCTTATAAATATCATCATTTGACTATATTATAGTTCACTTACAGTCATCATCAATTATTCCCAGCTCAGCTTGTGATGGCATTCCAATATTAATGTTTTGACCTTCAACAAAACCAACCAAAAACATTTCAAATTGTTCTGGTTCATCGTCATTAAAGAAATGAAAATTCACAACAGCTGAGGCTTGACCAGCAGCAAAGCTAACATTTGAAGTCTGTGCCTGCAAGTCAGTACCAACTGATGTAGGAGAAATAAAGAAAGAAGGAAATAGTTCATTAAACATTAAATCATGTGATAATCATCTCACTTGTTGCTGCATTGATTTTAGCTGAAAATGATAAAATAAACAATCAAAAAATAATAGTGAATCATGTAACATTATAATACTCATCTTATAATAACTCACAAGACATAACAGTTGTGATTTCAACTGAACTAGCAGCAGAAACATTACCAGATTTATACACAGTAACAGACACTGGACCCATAGTACCCTCCCTGGCTGATGGTATGAGGGGCTCAATAGTGTAAAAAGTTTCTAAAAAGGAGATAAATTATATCTTATTTAGTATGTTTTATTCACCTGCAATAGGTCTCATTCCAAAGCCAGCAGGATAGGCATATCCTTTCTGCTCTCCCCAACCAAACAATACAGCACTGAATGAACAGTTTGGATCAGCATGTCTTAGGAGATGAGTTCCTTGTGATATGTTCATAGAGATACCATAGCCACATATATCATTGAGATCATCACAATAAAATCTACCCCATTTACTAGCATCACTCTCAAGTGCAGTATCATTATCTAATAT